GTGTGTGTGTGAGCTGATGAGATAATTGTGTTGTGTGTGAGATGTGAGATGACAAGAATGAGTGTGCGTGTGAGATGATGAGATGATTGTGTGTGAGGGAAGAAAGAGGTCAGATGACAAGATGATTGTGTGTGTAAGAGAAGGACGGAGGAGAGAAGGACGAAGGAGGGAAGGACGGAGGGAAGGAAGGACGGGCGGGCGGGCGGAGTCGGGCGGGATGGCAGCCAAAAAACTAGAACCCCACACAGAGATGTGGGGAACAAAATACTTCTTTTATGCTATGGCACCTACAGCGTTAATAAGGTTCATTCTCTCTCATTCATTTTCGTTTTCATTCTCATTCATTTTCATATTAATATCTTTGCTGGTGAGTCTTGGTAGATTGACTCCTTAAAGAACCTCTTTATAATATTGGAGGAACTTGGCGAAGAATCCATTATTTTTTTTTGGTGAATCTGTGTCATTGAATTTCTACATCAGTACATCTATGGCAGCAAAGAAATAGAAAGGTCTTTTTCTTCGAACTTCGGAAGAGCTAAAAACAACTAGATGGAGAAGGAGAATGAATGTTTTTCATCAGGAGGCTTCCTCACATCTTTCTAGACTTCAGCGTGTGAGTATCGCTCCCAGGTGGTGCCTTCAAAGTACACCTTTCGAAGTGGCGTAAAGCTGGAGTTTCATGGCCTTGTTTTTCAAGGACACAAATGTTCGTCCTTTCATTTGTCATATCCCATTTGACAGAGCTGAAGTTTCACAACCTGCCTTTTGCAAACACTGAGAGGATTTCAGATATGCTCTGATCCAAGTCTTCCTGCTGAAGTTCGGGTGCCATCTTCAGTTTCCAGCTGATCACTGGGCGACAGCCCGTGGCTGCGCCGACCCGCATGGTGAGCCCCGTCGGGCCAAACGTGCGCCGCACACCATTTTCGCTTGAGTGTCGCCTCCGAAAATGCCAATGCCAAATCAGCAAGGACAACCACAACTCGACAAATGCAACATGAGCCACCACCTCCCCTGATTTGCTCCTTGTTTTCTTTGTTTGGCATGGATCGAAGCATTGCTCACGTCGAAATTGTTGGATGATGGATTTGGCTGGATCTTGTGACCTTTGCAAAAGCCAATGATGAAGCCGTTGCTTGAAGATATTGCTGGGAATACTGATGTTGGTGATGAATGCTTCAGAAGCGCCAAAATTGTGGGGTCAGCGACGGGGATGCGCAAAGGTGTTTGTGAATGCAGCGCTCACAAGAAATTTTGCTCATGGGTTGCATGTCCTTGTGATGCCACTTGCTTTGGGGTAGGTTTACCCTGGTTTTGTGATGAGGCGGTGATGCCATGCTGGGGTGCTTCAGGCATGAAGCTCACACACTTCTTGACAAGAATTGCTCTCAATGTTCACTGGATTCTTCTCCTCAGGAGCAAGCACTCTACTAGGGACTCCTGGCATCGCTGCTAGTTACAAGAAGCTACTAGGGGTTCCTGGCCTTACTACTAGGAACAAGAAGCTACTAGTAACAAGTGCATCGCTTCTAGTAACAAGTGCCTTACTAGTAGTAACAAGAACGCTACTAGGGGCTCCCGGCATCGCTACTAGGAGCCGCCGCTTCTCAGGTCCGGATGCGGTGGCCGCTTTAGCAGGGCAAATGTTTCCTGTCTTGGGTGGTGACTTCACCTACGTGGCTTGGTGAAAGCGTTGTACGTCAGCAGTACATAAACTCATCTCAACTTGTGAAAAGTTCAGTTGGCTTGCATTTCAAGGCTGGCGATTTGGGCTTTATCCTTGGTGCTCTTGTGTGGATCCTTGGATGGGCTGCCACTTCTGATCCGAATCTTTCTGTTTACATGCTTCCAGCCAGATCGGCAGCTTAAAGTGAACTGTTTTTTTGAGGTGACTTTGAAACTGGTGCATGGGCTGCTAATGCTACGTGCCACCCATCTTTAATATGTCGTTAGTGAGGCTGCTGTATGGACCCCACACGTGCTCTTCAACTCAGGCATATCATGGCTGCTGCAATTGCAGGCGCCTGTGTGTCTGGACCTCAGCAAGAAAGATGTTGGTGGTTTGCCTTTAGGGCATGGAGATTAATTCCAGGCCTTTGCCAGTAGAAGCTCTGCAGAGGATATGCGAAGCGCTCAGTTTGGACGCGGTGATCACTACGTGCTTCTGGAGTGACCACCAAGGATGAGTCCTGATACTCGACGACATCGACGTGTTCCCTAGTAGCGTCCTTGCTCCTAGTAGTGATGCCAGGAGCCCCTAGTAGCGTTCTTGTTACTACTAGTAAGGCACTTGTTACTAGAAGCGATGCCCTTTGCTCCTAGAATTCAAATCTTCTCTCTCGACCTTCCACCGCTACAGCGGTGAAGGTGAGGCGTTTTGACAGCCCCGTTCGCCAGCTTTGCTTGCCTTCATGCTGCCAAGAGGGCGAAGGGACCCGAAGTGAACAACTGAGGGGAACTGTACAGAAAAATTCGAGCATGCAACATCGAACGTCGGGCGGCTGACGTTCGTTCTCCGCTGATACCACCTCGGCCACAACGGTTGGCCGAAGTGTTTTTTTCCCTCTTGCGGCAGTTGCACCTGCCTCCCTAATGGGAGGTATCGGTGTGAGTGCGACTCCCCGTGCACCAAAAAGAAAGGAACTATGTGGGCAAGACGTGTGAGGCGTTGGGGGGGGACTTATGCAATGCCCTTCACCTGAGAGAAACCGTATGAGAAGCAGTTGGGCAAGGAACCGCAAAAGGAAGGAAGGAAGGAATGAAGAAAACATCGAAAGAGAAAACCATATTGAACTTGTACAATTAGCCCAGCTGGAGACCCCAATAGCAAGATACAAACCGGGACAAAAAGAAAAATCTGGAAACAGCTGCTGTTTTCAACACATCGACCATCTCTTCCTTGGACACCATCATCACATAACCGGGATACCATCACAAAATGACCAGGGCACCATCAAAACATGACCGAGACACCGTCACAACATGATTGGGACACCATCACAACATAACCGGGACACCATCACAAGGTGACCGGGACACCAGCATGAGACACCGGCACAACACGACCGGGACACCATCACATGACCGGGACACCATCAAAACATGACCGGGGCACCATCACAACATGACCGGGACACCATCAAAACATGATCGGGACACCATCACAACATGACCGGGACACCATCAAAACATGACCGGGACACCATCAAAACATGACCGGGACACCATCAAAACAGGACCGGGACACCATCAAAACATGACCGGGACACCATCAAAACAGGACCGGGACACCATCACAACATGATTGGGTCACAATCAAAACATGATCGGGACACCATCACAACATGACCGGGACACCATCAAAACATGACCGGGACACCATCAAAACAGGACCGGGACACCAGCATCACACGACCCGGACGCCATCAAAACATGAGCGGGACACCATCCGCCCACCAGCTCTGACGGTGACCCGACGGCGCCCGTCCGCCTATTAGTTTTGCAAGACCCCATAGCATGGCTATGAAAGGAATGAATGAATGAAGAAAACATCGAAAGAGAACACCATATTGAATTTGTACAATCAATTTTGTTGTTCCACGGGTTGCCGTTTCAACCAATGGTCTTTGCCAGCTTGCTCGACCCCTGAAACTCAGTCAACTGTTTTCCAAGTGAAGGTGCTTGGCTCAGGATAGATCTATCTCAAGTTCTCAGTTCGCCCCTGTCAGCTTTTGGATGATGTTCTTTGGTGCGAGATCACATGTGTTTGTGACGTCTTACTTCTGGAAAGCTTCCTTTTTGGGTAAGCCAGCATGGCTGCGGGTTCAGCTTCCGGAAGTGCTCATGAAGTCTTGTGAGGGCGGTTTCTTAGATTCTTGACCGTGCAAATAAGGAGGAAAGAAAAGCTTTGAGAAAAGCAACATGTGTTCTTTGCTTCTCCCAGCTCAAGGGGCTAAGGAGCACGTGCATTGGCTGAGAAAGTGTTTCGAATTAGTGTTCATGCCACAGCCCTGATGTTAGACAAGGAACATGTTCTTGAAATTGCACCGTTTTGTTGGATTTTGTTTGGCGACCCATTTCATCATGAGCTTTGTGATTGCCCTTTGGCGACAAGCGGCAGAGGCCTGTTTTTTTCGCAATGCGAAGAGAACATGGCCTGTAGTGAATTGCAGCTTGCTTTCAGACAGATTCCATACATTTGTGTTAAAATTCCATCTACCAAATTTTGGTTTACTTTGGAAGCGGCAAACCGCAAAGCTGCGCTCCAGGCCTACGTCGATTTTTTGAAAAGACCAATGCTTGAGGTTGCAGGTGTGCCCGTGCCTGGAGCTCCTTGTCATGTTTTGGTCCTAAAGCCTCAGCTTCATTCTGTGGAACTCCTTTATGGGAAAGTCAATGGGGAGTTATTTTGAGGAAAAGGATTCCAGTTCTTTTTGTGCTGTCCACGTTCTTGCTGCGGTATTGGTGTGCATTTCACACCTTTGCTTGGTTTTGAGGTTGTTTTGCTTCTTGTAGTGATGATCTGTGGAAATGCCGTCTACTTCTTGATGCGGAATTCTGAAGAGAGCAAAGTGGACGACAGCAAGACCGTGGAGGTATTTGATTTCCGCCTGTTTTTTTTTATCGCCCAAAGCTGTACGAAGAAAGCTGTTGCAGGCAAGACAGATCGTAACCAAGACGGAGAAAGAAGCACTCGCAGCAAAAAAACGGATCCAGGCACGCAGATGACTTTCTGTGTGTTGCTTTCAGTGTATGTTCCCTGTTTGTCTCCAACTCGATGAAGTGTTTGCCTCCAGGCAGGAGAGGAGTTTCGGAAGGTTGCCAAAGAGGTTGGTTGAGCTTGACTAATCCTGTAGAATGCATTTTGCTGAACCTACCAAGCCAATCATGCTGTTCGGATTTTGTTTCATTGTTTGAGGTCAGCACTTCACCAGAAGCACAAATTGGTGGAGTGTTGGGTACAATGAAGCCGGGCATGAAGCTTCTGGGTGAAGCAAATGCTGTCTTCGACCAGGTTGCGTACGATCCAAAGACAAAGGCCTGATGAAACACTGCTGCGCATTCGAAAAGGAATTTTTTAGGGCTTCCCTTTGCAGTGCGCGGACATCAGAAACACCCCACAAGTTCAAGGAGTTCAGCAAATATCGTCTGAATATTCAGTTGGTTTTTGTAAGCGACCAAAGAGTTCTTGCGAGAGAGTGTCCGCTTCAAGTTGGTTCCCGTTGAGGTGGGCGAAGTGAGCGGACCTTGGCAAACAAAATTCGGATGGCATTTGTTTCTGATAGAGAAGCGCGTAGGGGTGGAAGAGCCACTTCAAGAAAAGAAGGATCGATAGCTTGGAAAAGGTTTGGTGGATTCAAGATTTGCGGTTTTAGAAACGTATGTTTGCTCCTTTGAACATGTTTTGGAAGCACTCTGGATTTATGAAGCATATAGAGGAAATTGACTTATGTGAATCGCTCGCTGAGCGATGTGTTTCGTTCGATCGACAGACCCCGAACCGCTCTAGCTGGGCGGGCTCAAACTGAGTAAAACCGGCGCGGTGTGGCGTTTCGACGCCACCTTTGCTTTTTCCGTGGTTCCGGACTTCGTTTGCTGGAACGCATTCGCTACATTGGTAGCGGAGCCCTGTGAAGGAGCTCTGCTGCGCACTTCGCGACGACGAGCCGACGGTTCGGGATAAGACCAGGGTCAAGAACGGTTCGAAGAGCTCTTTGCGTTTGCCTCCACCTTTGCTTGGTTTAGTGCATTGGCTACCTCATCACCCCAACCTCCAAGCAGGTGACTGAAGAGCTCTATCCTACCATGCCACCTCCGAAGAAGACTCAAGGAGAGACCCAGGCACCCTCCGGCTCCCGAGATGGTGGAGGAGGCTATACAGCTTCTCAGGCCAACCGGCCGACTACAAAGAATGGCGCCAACGGATCTATCTTTACCATCGCAAGATGATGCTCACCAAGAGAGGCAACGAGTCTGTCCTGAACATCGTTGGATCCTTCCAAGGAGTCACCTGGAGACTCTTCCAGGACTGGAGCCTCGAGGAGCTGGAGAAGGAATCCTCCTTCGACCGCATCATTGCTACGTTGGATGCAAACTTTCAATACGATGCCCGAGTGCAGTTGCCCAACGACTTTGAGGGCTACTTCAACCAGCTCCAACGTACAAGCGGCCAGACTCTGTTGATGTTTGTGGCCGACCACGAAGAGGCCTACAGGAAGCTCCAATAGCACAAGGTCGAACTTCCGGCCTCAGTTTAGGGCTGGCATTTGTTGAGGCGCGCTTCCATCTCCAAGGAGCAGCGCCAGATGGTGACGTTGAAAGCCCCAAGCCTGGAAAAGAAGGACGTGATTGAGGCCTCTACTTGCTGTTTGGTCAAGACTTCAAAGGAGGAACCTGGCCTATGGACCGCAAGCGATTTGGTTTTGCTCCCTGGCGCAAAAACAGATTGGACTGAGGAACCTACCTATGCCTCCCACGAGGATTATTACCATGAGCCTGAGGAGCCCGAAGAGTTTGACAACGAAACAGACTATTATGGTGATGAACAATGGCCTGACCCCGACTCCGAGCCTGCAGCACATGGCTGAAGAGTACGACCACGCCTTTGCCTCGTACACAGATGCTCGGAAGCGGTTCCAGGAGTTAAAGATGGCCAGAGGATATCTACCTGTGGTAGCTTTGACTGAAGGCTCTGAAGTGCCAGTGTCTCCTGCATCCAATGCTATATCATCACCTTCTTCCTGGCGCTGAAAAGGAAAAGGGGGCACCAAGTCTGGCAAATCCAAGGCCAAGACGATAATTCCCTACCCACATCAAGGTGCTGGTAAAACTGATCCCAAAGCAAGAGCTCGTGCAGCACTCACCTGTTTGAGATGCGACCAACCTGGTCATTGGGCAGCCAATTGCCCACAAGGTGCAAGCAGCTTAGCCTCCAAAGCTGGAACGAAGAGGCCCGCTCCAACTGAAGATATGGCTTTTGCAATTCAATCCGAAGAATTTGTGCTCCTCACCTTCCAGGACGCCTATGGCCTGGAGCGACCTGATTGCACTATATTGGATCCTGGTGTAAGCGCATTCCTGTCGGGTTATGGTCCCTTTAGCAAGTTGCTGGAGCACTATGAAGAGCTTGGATATCCCACCGATTTCATTAAGATGACAAAAGGTCGGAGACGACTTCAGTTCGGTGGGTGGGGACGCATCTTAATGGTTTGATTGGAGCATCCCGCATATTGAGCGATTTTGCGTCTAGAGCCACACCAGAAAGTTTATGAAATCCGCTCTATGGCTTCTAAAACCCTTTCACCTGGTGAAAAAAATCTCTATCATTAGTAGTGGCCATGGCACAAAAGGTCGGGTGAGTTGCAGGTTTATTGGGGGCGTCTTTGAGTTTAAAGGACAGCTGCAAGTGCCAAAGAACCTCGTGCCAAAATATTATGTACTTTACCAAGAAGAATTTGATGTGGTCGGAACGAGTTGGCTAGGAGATTCTGTTTGGATGTGGCATTTGGAGCTTATGATCGCCTTTGATCCATAGTTGGAGTTGTCTGTTTCGATTGGCCTTTAGGTTTGGATCTATTTTGACCCGAACATATGCTCACAGCCCACCCTACCCCACACCTATAAATTAAGTAGTTTGCT